GCGTTTGAAAAGTAGTCTGCCTTCAGTGAGACCAAGGGTAAGACTGTCTGTATTCAGTTTTCTCCCACCTACGCCCGAACCATTTAAACGTTCATCATATTCGTCCTCATCAATTTGTCACATTTGTGACCTTCTCTTTGGATTTATAGGATAACTTGGTCCCCAGCATCACACATACCGTAGTACTTAGTAGAATCTGGATGGCATGGTACATACCTAGTAAGCGTGGCGGATATGTATGGTCTATATCGGGAGCAAGTAACTTGCTTGCTATGAAAGTTCGTGACAACCTTGCTGTGTTGGATTCGAACAATCCTCTCTCCTCCCCCCCCTGTAGCTGACTGTGCTCAGGTCCTCCAGTGATAGAAAGAGCCCCATCCCCCTCCTGGCCAACGGGTTTGTAATGTCTCGACGACCCCCCAGTAAGCGCTGGTGGCCGCGACTCATCAACGTCCCCTTCTGGATCGCTTGTAGAGCCTTACCATTTTTTCAAGATCGTGTTCATACTACTTATCGCAGCTGAACGTGTACGTCTGTGTGTGTACAATATAGTACAAATAATATAATGTGCATACCAGCCATTTTGTTTTTAAAAATTTTTTTTTGCCATTTCGAAGTGTGAGTAAGGTGTAGGTTCATTCATCCATTCAGAAGCATTGAAAAGCAATGGTGTAGCTGCGTGTAGAAGACAAGACAGCGATATCTATAGGCGCACAAATCGCTGCTCTTGTGGTGAGCATTTGGTCGCTTACTGCCGGTTGCAATTTGCGGGTACAATCTGTATCTCTTACAGTGGCGTAGCAGAAGATTTGTCGAATGAAACGTTCAACACACCACTGTTTGGCGAAAAATAGCTCAGTATACACCGTGTTCGTTAATTGAGCTCTAGCGCAGTGACCCTACGAACCTTGGCCAATCAAACCGTCGTCCAAGCACTTCCTACGCGCTGGAAGGACATCCGTGTCTGGCCGTACTCACGCTACGCTAGTATTGATGTCACTTCCCCGACCTGGTCTCTCCATGTGATAACAGACTGGGGTAATGCCCTGTACGTGCAGTGCCGTGGTGTCTGAGGATACTCGAGAGATGCAACAGCAGCAGTTAGTTATACTACGGATGTACATATGTGGTCCACAGCACCCAAATCAACTGCTTATTCCCGAAACCATCGTGGATTTGTGTACATTTTGAGACGATGACGTGCATGCAGATCGAAATGTATTGCACTGGTGGTCATGGACAATCATAGAAAGATCCAACACACCCTGTGATTAGTGACGATTTTCCAGCGCGAGTGTGACACACACGTAGTGGCAGTGGTGCACCAGAATGAGAAGTGAACAGTCTGAGATTAGACTCTGCCCTCACGGACTGTACATAACACTTCAGTGCTGTTGCAAAATATTCGAAGGTGGACATGCCGATGAGTGAAATCATAATATTAATATAGCTTCTAATGTGGGTCCAGTGAAGTATCAGAACATGTTGCAGAGCGAGAGAACGTTGCTTGAAACGTTAGAGTTGATGTCGTGTTCGTTAGTATCACTTCACAGACAGGTATTCATGCTCATGACAGTCGTCGTCTGTGTCGATTTGCAATGGACAGTCGGTCTTGGGTGTGAGGGCCAGAGTCTCGCGTGACTTGTGGCGTGTGGCTTTGGGTCGGTTGCTATTGCCGACACAACCTAAACGGTCACAAGCCGTTGCCTTGGTCTCCATGTAGCAGCTGTGTAAATATGTGTGTATGGTTTCGACAGGTAACTGAAAATCTAACATGTTAGCCAACACACAGAAAGAAAGCTCAGCCAACACAACCATCTGAATCATGTAAATGGTAGGTGTTTTTTCAAATAAGTCTACCTTAGCTCTGGACGCATTCACGGAGCAACACAACACTCCACATTTCCGCGCTGAGTCTAGTGATCACAGCCTGCACTCCACTCGTAGCACGAAGTAGTGTGGCGCGTCCAAACCCGTGTGCCGGCAGCGCAGATAGGGGACCACACCACCCACATCCACATCAGCACCATTATCGCCTTGTAATAAACAACAGCTGGTGACGGAGTATACGCTCCCGCCACATCACACTACTCTTTGTGTCTAATGAAGGACTTTATTTGTGGAAGTTTGTTGCGCAGTCGGTTATTTCGACATGAAATCGTGTTGAGGCAATTATGCAACGTGCACCAGGTATACGGAGTTCCTTCTATATAGGATTTCCCGCTCTTTGGGGTATATATATAGTACGAGATTTTAAAGGCCACTGGCTGTGCAGTTTAGAAATGTTATATGAGGGCGGGGTGAACAGAAAATAATGTGCATTCTTGCACTGGGTCTCACTTTGTTGTTCTATCTTTGACGTAACATTCTAAATTCATTAGCCCTTATGTACTGACACATGTTCCCTTTATGTAGAAAAGCAATGTATGGCAGTGAGGCATGGCATGCAGGCCTCTGTAGACTACATTATATATAACTTACAGTCGTCCTGCCTTATTCCCAGCCGCGTATAATGCCGTCGTCCGGAGAGAGGTCCAACCGACTCAGCACCTTCATCAACGTCCGACTTCTGAGCATAGTGCTGCCGGAGGATGGCTCAGGTCACGAACATGCAGCAAGACATCCTAAAAGAGGATAGAGAGAATGGGATTGTTAATGTTAAAGAGCTACTACATACATGCAAATGGCACAGTACAAAACGTCACAATCTAGTGGTGTAACTATGGTGTGCGCAAAGGGTAGTACATACTGTACAATACAGACCTTCACAAAGAGCAAAAACATCAATTATCCCCATTGTGACACAACCTCACCTAACTTAGCATGTGAAAACTATGAGGTAGAAAGGCAAAGGCACAACAAACAAATCAACTACACCTGTAGCACAGCTCTTCTTTTCCAAGGAAAAATAATGAGCTGCCCTAGGTGGGATTCGACCCATGACACTCTGCAGTCTAGGCGAGTGTACAACCTAAATGCAACTTTCAACATGTGCCTATAATGTATTATACATACATGTGCAGGTACAGTACTGGACTTACAGCATGTGTCACATCGTCCAGTGTTGATGAAAATGACTCCACCAACTCGTGGGGCAGATCAGACACAAACCCTATTGTATCAACGTACAGAACCTTCTGCCCACACGGCAGTTTCCCGGCATGAACGGTCGTGTCCAACGTTGCAAACAGCATGTCTGCCGGAGTCACGCTTTCGTCTTTTGAGAGCGTTTTTATGAGTGTCGTCTTTCCGGCATTGGTGTACCCCACGACCGCTACCACTGGTAAGTGGTGTCTTTTTCTCTGCTCGCTCATCACCTGCCGTCTCTCCTGGATGTGCTTCAGCTCTTGTCTAAGAACCGCCTCCCTTTTCTGGTGAGCGTTTATCTTCCCCGCCACCTCCCTAACCTCCCTCCCCACGGCTCCGGACGCTTCCAGATCGGCTAGTTGTGCCCTCAGGTAGGGCATCTCGGCAAGTTCCACTTGAAGTTTTGCTTCTTTGGTCCTCGCACGCTCCTTGAATATCCGCAGAACAATCCCGAAACGATCGAAGACCTTTCTCCGAAAGATCCCCTCCAACGTCCGGTGTTGGACTGGCGTGAGACGCGGCACGTTGAGATACACACCACTCACCGGGAGATTGCCAACAAACTGTTTCAACTCGGCCATTTTCCCCTTTCCAAAGAAGGTCTTAGTGTGTGGTCTACGAACAGCGTCCACCCTGTGTGAGTGTACGGTCCACCCGGAAATGGATTCAACTAGGCTCACAGCTTCCTCCAACTTTCGTTCGGCTGGAACATATGGGGTTTCAATTCTCCCTGTTTTGTACTCTGGTTGGATTACCAGTAGCGTGCGTCTGTCGGTAGGAGTCTCATAGCTAGAATAGTGTCGTCTCGATGAAGTTGACATGCGCATGCGGTATAAGTGAGAGATAACGCATGCGCAACGATGAGGAGCAGTAAATTCTCGGGATCCGGCGAAAGTACAGTCGGTTGCAGTAAGGCAAGCATTTTGAACGACGAGCCTTTGTCTCCAGCTGGCCACAGCAAATTTACAAAACCGACCAGCGGTATGTCTTGAGAACTTCATCGCATCTGGAACGAGTTCCGCCCTCTCAGGGTCAAAGTTCAACGCCTTACGCACTTGAGCATATGCGTAAAACGCAACGATATGGTAATAGGTAACGATATCGATCACGCTACGTTGTACGCGAACCCTTCATCCTATTGTGTTCCATCTGACGTCTCGAGCGGATACAGGCAGCCAGCTAAAATATATATACCTCATGTGTAGCCTTATCTATCAGCACAGACTTACAAAAATGTGAGCACAGACAAACAGAGAGTGGGCCAAAATGTGTGTCATGGTAACGAAAAACTGAAATGCTTGAGTTGGTCTGACATATCACTGAGTGTGGGGAGAGTCGACGAGGAAAAGTGTTTAAAGAGGCGATCGAGCGAGTTCATTACGATGGTATCGATCTCTAGAAAGGGGTTATAAGTGGGTTCTGAGAGGTTCATCCGAAACTGTTGCATGATCTGTGACTGGATCGACTTCCATTCACACCGCGTGAGGTTCGCTGACTTGTACAGTGTGAGTAGGACTGTGAGCAGACCGAATCGAAGTGACTTGTTTGCCTTGCATGGGCAGGGTATGGTTGGCGGGTCTGCACTAAACAGTACCTCCATTTCCTTGTCCTCTCGTAGTGCTTTGAGAACACTGGTACCCTCGAGCGCAGCTAGAGTGAGTTTACTAACTGTTAAAATGGCTCCAGTCGGAAAGCCTTGGACGAGGGATGCGATGATCTCCTTAGCTTCTTGATCCAGCACCTTGGCACCGGATGAAGCCACAGTGTCAGTTAGGTGTACAAGTGACAGAAAGCCAAAGCAGAGATGTGCGTTTGTGTGGAGAAGGGACTTGAATGCCCCTACGGACTCCTCCAAGTCTTTGAGTTGCTTCTTTGCCTCTGTTTCCCCGTACAGCTCCTTGAGTAGGTCCGACAGCGAGGCGAAAAGCTTTGTTGCCACCACGGACAAAGGGTGCTTGTCCTTAAATCGCTGTATAGACTCGATTTGGGTTGACGGTGCTGCACAGCGCAGTGGCGATATGCCGAGTGCCGTTGAAAGATCCTCCTCTAGTCTTTCAAGAAGCTGCATGTTGGCCGATAGGGGCAATCCTTCGTGGTGTTGCTCCAGTTCAGCAATGAAGAACCCGGACTGTTGTAATGTGCCGAAGATCAGTTTCCCGGCAGCTTTGAGGGTCTGGTTTGTGTTGTGGGCCCTGGGGGTGGACTGCTGCCATTCAGTATCCGTGTACTCGAGCTGGGTTGAGAGCTGCCTGAGAGTGTCGTTCACCCACGCTTCCAAGAACGTCGGGTTCCGCAACAGCTGATGCAGCTCTCCCTTCCCCTTCAGGAACTGCATCTTCTTGTCCTGGATGGACTTGTGCTTCCAGTGGATGGCTGGGGGCAGATGTAGCTGGCCTTCCATGCCAAAACTAGAAGTTGCTGGTTCGAGTTTCTGGGCCAAGTCAATCCTCCCGATTTCAATGAGGCAACTGACCAAGTATTCGTATTGTCCAGGGCCCAACCGACCGTGCTTCTCAAGGCTTCTCATGAGGTCAACTCCACACTTTATGCCCATTGCTTCCATCTGGGGAATAAAGTCTTCGGAGAGATAGAGCAGCTCGTTGATGTCTTGCTGTTCCAGTGACTTTGACAGCTGTAAAAGACGCCGTCTGTGTGGTGATGGCTTTGGTTGAACTGGTGGTACACGAAAAGTCATTCTCCCTAGAGCTCTTCTCAGTAGCAGAGCTTCAAATCCCTAACACACTCTTCTTAGAACACTGTCAGAGCTTTTAGTCATTATCCCTCTAACACTATTCTTGGTCCACTGATCAGAGGCTCAACTTATATATCAGGTCTCTATGTTATCACATGACAAGAGAAGAGAAGGAACTGTCACCATGGGATGAAGCCAAGCCCAAGAGCATATGACTGCACTTTCACAAACCAAAAGCTGGCCGTATGTGCAACCGACGGAATATGGCCTATAGAACAAAGAATACGTGCAGCCACATCCTGGGGTAATTCCCCAGTGGAACTCAACCCTGTAGCTGGTCAGGTATATACACACCAGTTGAGATAAGTGTGTCGAAAACAGGATGTTGGCACAGCCCCCCAAGTGGGACCTGACGCATTATGATTACATACAAGTTGGACCCAACGCATTAAGATTACATACAAGTGAAAAGCATTTTAATTGCATTTAAGTGCTGATATCCATAAGACTATAAGACCCTTCAACACACAACCTAAACCCTTGCACAGAAAGAGTGTTACACACAACGACAATGACCTAGTTTTTCCTGCTCTATCTCAAACGGTTGGCTAATTATGAAAAACTGATTTACAAACATCAGTTCTTGCAGAATTCTAAACTGGCACCTTTTTTCATCTCATTAGTGGGGAAAAACTTGTAAAAAAATAAACTTGCTGATTTCTAACCATAACAAAAAACGTGTAGTTGCTTCAGCAATATAGACATACAAACTTCCCATAAAGGCTTTATACACAATCGCGTGGTTAGTAAAGCCGCTCCGAGGGGAAGCCACTTGAATGACAAAACTGCCAGACAAACATAACAATTATTGCCATGGTTTTACGATTGATAAGAATACAGAAAGAGGAATCGATGTTTGTGAAGACCGACATAGACCTACATTGCTATATTCTGTAAGAATATGCGTACACATGTAGAATATAGCTAGCTAACATAGAAGATAGGATATTGAAATGGGGTAAAACTTAGGTTCACACAAAAACGGTTGGTTTTCCAGTTTGAAAAATAAGACAGCAGCTATTGCGTTTTCCCAATAATCTGGCAGTGAAAGGTATTCAGTCGGTCAAGTGTTGCCTGAATTCCACTAATGACATCTTCAGCTTCCCCATCCTCCTCTTCCTCTTCCTCGCCTGACAGATCTGCAGTGTGACATCACATCCACAATAATTATGGGAGTTCAAACTGTTCAAATGTCACACGTTGACATTCTTCAAATGCTAACTATAGGGGGCCAAAGTAATTTTATGGAGTACTGAAGTTGCTGGACTGACAGACTGATCTTGCTATTGGTTGGACACAAAAAGTGCACAAACATTAATATCGCAGTGTATATCAATTTTGCACGTGTGCATTGCCAGATCTCTTTTGGGAACACGAACACATGTTGAAACTTCCTTCTGCAATTTTAGCAGCTGCACACATGCACAAAAATGGAGGAAACACACCACACAGATCAGCACTTAACATAGCAAATCCCTTCCCCGTGTGAGGCACTTTCACTCACACTACGTATACACCGAGCATAGATAGAGAACAAGGCCTTGCGTCATTCTATACACTCAACAAAAACTAAGTCTTCAAGTAGTATCTTCAAGATGGGTGTAAATCTATATAAGTAACTTATGGTAATGTAGCACATGGCGCACACACGTCTCAACAGCACCCACCTCTGGTGGTATGGTTTCAAACAGGAAATAGAGACTTGGAAACACGTGTGCACTCACACATCAAAGGCAATAGATGGCAGAGCACGTAGAGTGCCCTGAACTGTCTGTTCAAAATAGGTACGTGGGTCACGTTCAAAAGCTGGTGTATACAACAATGCATGGAGTGTGCATTTAGCAAAAAATGGGAATTGGATGTCAATAAAGTCACTCACACATGTATGAGATCTGTATACACCACTGATTTATACGCACAAAGTATATGAAAGGAAATAAGTAGATGCATGTGGTATAGGAATGGGAATCAATGTTAGATATAGGTCACACACGTATTAAGTCTATTAATGAAAAACACTGTATACATAATTATTGTGTACCAACAAACACTAGCGAATTCTTATACGTACCGTCAACTTCATTTTCCATCTGCTCCACCCAGCGAAGGATCTCGTCCTGCACTGCCTCTACGTGGTCCATGAGAAGCATGCGTTTGAACCAGTTGGTGGTGTCACCGTGAACAAACGCCTCTGTGAACTCTCTCACGAGAACCGGCGCTGGTGGTGGAGAGTCTTGACTCGGCCGAAGGGTGGACGCAGTTTCGGTAAAAATCGAATCTCCGCCTACGTTTGGGACGAGTTTAAGTCGGCTTAGTTGAGTCGCACAAGGCTCTGAGGTGGTTGTTGTACTCTGCGACGCAGGCTGTTGATTGCTTGTCGGTGCACTGGTGTTTAGACTACTGACTGTGTCTTCCGTGATGTTGGCAGTAGTATTGGGAGGAGGTCCCGTTTGACTAGAGCATGCTGGGAGTGAGGTGGAGGAGGAAGTAGGAGGTTGTACTAGTGACTGTGGATGAGTTGAAATGGGACTTGTGAGCAGAGAAGTCAGCTGGCTAGACGTACATGTGGGCGTTTTAGCACGGATCGGTGCAGATCCAGGAGGTGTGGAGGGGTTCCCCATACTTTGCCTGGCTGCCGTGATGACCACCGGTTTGAACGCAGAAGTAGTACTTTGCTGAAGGGTTTTCTTTTGTGTCAGAAGAGAGACTGCGGGGATAGCCGCTGGGAGGGTTGTAGGCGTAGGTGGTGTTTTAACTGAGCCAGAGGGCTTCTGTTGCTTAGGGGAGTTTGGTTGAGGCACATTTTCACTCTCTTTGACGGCAAACACCGACGTTTCTTGCACTCCAAATTCGGAAGTGAAATCAGGTTCAGTGCTAGTGGAGCGCAGCGTGCCCTCAGCATCGTGAGGCAATCGAGCAGTACCAGAAATATCTTGCTCTACCACCTGATCCCGTGACAAATCTCGGGACTTAGGAACACCAGCCCCCTGAGCGATAGACGATTGAGTGGGACCAGCTAAGACGCTCATTTTGATACTTCCAGTGGGTTTCTGGTTCTCTAGGGGTAAAAACAGTGGCTCCTTGGGGCCTTCCGAAATCCTGTCTCCATTTGCAAGCTTCCCCTTTTCATGGGAACTTGAAGCTACCTCAACTCCGCCTGCAGTTTCTGGTTCAGGCTTTACAACGGTGGACAAAGAGTTGGAGTTGCTACTAGTACATGCTGGGTTATCTATAGCCGCTGCGTTCCGAGTGGTGTCAGGGCCACGGGTGACTATAGGTTGCAGTGCTGTAGCTAGATAGTTCTTGAGAGTCTCCTTATCCAAACAGGCGCACTCTTTGCTCCACTGACGCAGGTAGGAGTGATTTGGAGTGCTGTGGGTATATACGTATAGGGGTAAAGTGTGTGTGGTGAGCAAATCGATAATGTTAGTAGCCAATGAAGCGGTAGGCCTTTAAAGAGGTTAAAAATGGCATATTCACACATAGCACAACATCAGTGTAACCTATACACACCGGGTTAAACTCCCTATACCTAGACGCATACTAATTAGCATAAACATTAACTGCTGTATTTAGATTGTTGTCACTGAACCTAGCTGCTTGTAGTTTCACTTTCGAAGAGTGAGACATCTTCCGGAGGAGGTAGAGCTTGTCCAAGAGGATGTGGCACTTGAGCATGGTGTCGGGGCAGGGGAAATTTGGCCCCCCAGGGAGGCTGGGTAGGGTACCGTCACAGTACCACTGGAGGTCATACTGTAGATAATCCAAAAAAGACCAATTACACGTCTGAGGTTTCGAATGGTACACATTATACCAACTCAATAATGGAGTCATAGTGCAAGATGTTTAGCTTAGAACATTGGATCTGCTTGTGACGCACAGACCTGGCAACCGCAATCTCTTGCACGTGTTCCAGGTGTCTGCTTTAAAGGGCTGGGCTCGAAAAACGTGCTATCGTTACAGCATGAAGTAATGTGACAAGGTGGAATGCAATAATAGAGCCTATTCCTACGCTATGTCGTCACAACGAATCCTTGTGCAAAGGCTTCCGTAACCCAGTCCACCACATGCAACACTTAACAAGGAACACTTATTCCACTGACATGTATAATTGACTCCCTTTTTGTTTAACGAACACACACACAGGGGCTGTGGGAGAGCCCATGAATGTCGTTATGGTGGAATTCGTGAGATTGGCACTTGGAATATGGTATATATATAGGCTTGCTTTACCTGATATTTCCTGTTTTGTCTCAAACCTGTGAAATAAAAGTGAAATGTGTACATATTTGCCTATACACACGTCATAAACTTTTCAGATTTAAGGGATAAAAACCCTAGAAGGGTGGGTTTAAATGGCATACACCAGACTGCTGTCTTCATTTTTGACACCAAAAAAGGGGGCCCCCTAAATGAACCCCTCAATACTGTACATACGTGTACAAAACCCTATGGATACCTGGAGGGTTGGTGCAGAAGCAGCAGATGTACTGTTTGGGAAGTGAGGCTTTCGAGATGCCAATGCAGTCTCCATGTTGCCAGCAGAGACACTGCTCACACTGAAAGTAAGAGGAACAGAAATCAATAGCACGACTGATATAGCTGCATACACAGCACATATTATTTATTATTTTCTACCACGGGCAAGGCGTGTAATCCTTGAATTTGTTTGGGATGCGAAATTTAGGCTATTTCTTATTTTTACCCACTCCATAACCATAGAAAATATATAAAAGAGGGAGAGATAGCGCAAGGGCAAACAATTCCGTGTTTGTTACGTAATCGTAACCCCCGTGAGGCACCTGGATCATGAATCCCTCGTCAGTGTTGTCGCTACACACACAGTGAACGACGTCATCATTAGCCTCGCTGCCGGGAGACGTCGACCTGCAGTTCATGTGGTGCCATTATTATAGACAGAGAAAGAAGTGTGTACACAAACAATAGCTGAAGATGCAAAACCTTTTTTTGGCAGGGTGTCAATTAAATGGTATATACTTGGCACAAAAGTGACATTCTGTCTGAGACACAGTTTTTAAGTTGTACTAAACTGCATTTTAGTCAGTTGAAAAGTATGCCATACGTAGTAATGAGAAAAAAATTATTAATCTAGTCAGACAAGGCTTACCGGCTGAGCTGTTCCACTGATCTACTGTCCCCCTCTACTGCTCCTCCTTCCCCAGGCATCCCTGAGGGGAGATTTGCTTCGGACTTCACGTCACTGCCACCCATCCCATCCTGTTTACTCGATTCACCGCCAGTGGCAGCTGGGGCCTTCTGCCCACCGCTGACATCCCCTGGCCAACTTCCCGCCGTTCCCCGGCTTCTCTGCAGAGGCACACCGGCAGCAGAGGACGACGGGAGAGAGGGACTCGTCTGAGATTTTGAAGCCATTTCCCCTCCCTTTCGTGAGGCTTCCTTGTGAGATTTACCATCTCTGTGCTTCTTCCCCGAGGACTGCTTGTGTTTCGAGGGAGGGGAAGAGGAGGAGGTGGTGGAGGAAGAAGGAGAGGTTGTGTGTTTCTGTTGGCCACTGATTGATTGAAGAACTGCTGCTGTATTGCCAGTAGTGGCGGAAGATTTCGAAAGACTCGATTTCGGACGAGATTTCTTCGGCGACTTGCTCCCGAAACTAGTTCCGCTGGTTTTATTGTCAGTAGTGAGTGGCCTGACCTTCTCATGCTCTTGAACTGTAGGATCGTGGTGTTCGCTCAGTTTTGCCTTCTTGGGGCTGGGTTGGAGGGACGGGGAGAGAGGGAGAGAGGCAGAGGTGGTTGGAGAAAGGTGGGAGGAAGAAGAAGAGGGCGTGGCAGGCAGGGACGCCGGGGTCTTTGGTGATTTGTTGGTGAGGGAGGTGGAGGGCGACTGAGGAGACTTCCATACTGGAGTACGGTCACCCTGGGGTACCTTCACTGAATGGAAAGGTTAATCATGAGTATCATACTTAGTAGGCCATCCCCCTAACTTTTAGGCCACCTATAATTATCTCTCATGGATGTTTCCATTGCGTAGTTCAACTAAATTCAAGACGTTTAAGATGGTTGTTTGGCCCGTCCTTCTGCCCACTTGCTTTCCAAAAGTACGGAAATTTTAGGCCACGCTATTTTCCACAAGAAAGGGTATATACCACCCTATTATGTTGTATTCATGCAAACTCAATGCTAATTTTAGTGAAAGCAAGTGGAAGAAAAAATGATCTTGCGTACCACGCACCCTGTGTAGAATCCCCTGTACACCATACTTACTTGTGTTAGCAGTTTTTCCCCTCCATGGAAAAGGCATTATGTTGTGGTAGTGTTTCATGTGGCTCTCCAGGAGCGACTGCTTACGGAAGGACTTTGTGCATCCGCAGTGAGTGCATTTGAACTCATTGTGATCCCACATTATTACCAGTTCCTTGGGTGCCACTTTCCCTGCGGGGAAATCATACATGTCGAAGAGAAGGTGAAGTAGTACATGTTTTAGCTCATCCTTGGAGATTAGGAAGTAGAGCATTGTGCACCAGAGAGGGGAATTACAGTTATTAAACACCCAGGTTGTTCCATGTTTTAGCCCATCCTTGGAGATTAGGAAGTAGCATTGTGTACCAGAGAGGGGAATTACAGTTATTAAACACCCAGGTTGTTCTAATACCAGTTGCTATCTAGGACATTATTAACCACCAGCACTAGGGCGTAAAAATGCACACACAAGTAGGGAAATAAGAGCCAGTCATCATGACTTTTGAGGCGTAGGGAAATAATAATTGTAGAGAGATTGACATGTGTACATGTTTGCACATCCTTGGAGATAGGATATATATCAGAGTAGGGAAGTATTAACAACAGGTTGTTCCAATTGCCATCAAGGAAGTAATCAATAACCATGGCAACCTCATGAGTGATATACAGGAAGTTGCTAGTAGGGAAATTATTTGGTCTATCAACTAGTAGAGAGAGGCAGGAATGAATACAATGTCTGAGCCAAAAGACTGTTGAGATTTTATAATACTTTGGAACCAACAGCGAAGAGTGAAACTTGAGAGTTTTAACACAGACGTGTATGACACACACCATTACACAATGCAGGACATAACACTGCATACCTTGTCTCCCCTTCTCTTTCATCTTCCCGAGCTTGCTCTAAATGGAATGAAGGAAGGGCATTTATAAGGTAGGGTTCATCGAATGCCTGCCTGACAATGACGTTTAGCATTCCCAGCTATTCCGTGAAAGGCTCGAATAACACGCAGCGGGAGATGTGGCTTACTGACATACAAACATGGATGCGACCTAAAGCAGTAAAGCAATAGTTTTACTATAAAGAGAGCTTACATTTCATACTCAATTACACTACGCATGGTTCTGACATTCCAGTGAATGTCTTAATCGTCTGGCATACAAATATGTATACTTCAAGCAACACACAGCTAGTATGTAGTTGCTATATAGTGGTCAGAAATCCCCCCTCCTTCAATCCCTCGGCTAAATGTCTGCGTATGGAATATTGTGTCTCACTAAAGCCCATAATCCCCACATTCCCCACCTTTCCACACACACACACACAACCAGCTTGAGTACCACACACACAGATACACACACGCACGCACGCACACACACACACGCACAGACAGGCACACAGGTACATGGACCTCAACTACTATGTCCTGAGCAGGAGTGGCCTCACATTTTCAAAGGTCGTCTGAAGACACACACACACACAGACAGGCACACAGGTACATGGACCTCAACTACTATGTCCTGAGCAGGAGTGGCCTCACATTTTCAAAGGTCGTCTGAAGACACACACACACACAGACAGGCACACAGGTACATGGACCTCAACTACTATGTCCTGAGCAGGAGTGGCCTCACATTTTCAAAGGTCGTCTGAGCTCTGAACCGAGTGGTGACTGAACTACTTGAGCTACTCTTTCTCCGTGATGAGGAGCAAACCATCTTTAGTTTCGACGGACTTCTCAAACCAGGAGGAGAGGAAGAGCCCGTCGGGTCATTTGGGTCGTCTCTTGCGACCGTGTCACAGGTGTGACTGGGGGAAGTCGGTGGTTTTTCAGGTGTGGAGAGGGGAGTGGGGGAGGAGGGAGGAGGGTGAGAGGAGGAAGGGAGGTGGGGACATGGGTTTGAAGAATCGGGTTTCGATCTGCTGGGATTGACCCGGACTTTACTCTCCTCTTTCTTAATGCCACCTGATGCACGGTTCTCAACAGCTCCTATATATATACACCAAGAAAGGAGACATAACACAAAAGAGTTAGTACATTAATCTACTCCTGTATTTGTATATAATTATGTGAACGTATCAAGTGGAAGCAGAGCCTTGAATAGAGTACATAATAGAGCAGCAGAAAGGCGTGGGTTTTCAAAGTGCGCCATTTCTACTTGATATGTTGGGAGATACAAAATAAATATTACAGCTTGTGCTAAGGTCGAGTGAGAACAGTCATTGCAGTGATCTTTGCGCCGGAAGATAATCACAGGGTATCATGAATCTCGCATAGGACGGTGCCCATCTCGAATCACAAACACACCAACCAACCAGTGTGTGTCCATCAGGAATCAAACAATCACACTTGATCAATCAATCAATCAATCAATCAATCAATCAATCAGTTTCCGTGGCAAAGAATCAAAAAACAACACAGGGAAGCTTAAAAAGAGACACCGAGAGATTTAGTGGCACCTTCACCGAGATGAAGATTTGAGTCAACAACCACACGGAAACGGACAACATCCAGAGACGCTCGATGATTTCTTGGTCTCAGTTTCATCGGGAGGGGAGAAAGAGCCTCGTTGCAGAAGAGCCAATCGCTTTCCTCGGACGCGGGACGGAAATTGGTGGACTTTGCCTTCAACGAATGGTGTTCCGGAGGTTCGGTGAATTGGAACTTTTGAGGCGATGACTGGGAAAACTTGTCGTCTTTGTTCCGTTGCAAGTAGCCGTTGGAGGAAACAAATTCAATATGCACAGTATATAAATATACAGTAGAACCGACTACAAGGACACAATGAGATGAGGACACATCTCTAAAAGGAATCCTATGAACGGCAACTCCATTTGTTTCACTTGGACACTTTCTCGTTTTCCCCCATTAGTGTATATACAGATGAGGGGACTCCACTATGACATATTGAATATGTGCATTCGGACATCCCTAACATCACAAAGAGAAGGACTAATGAAGAAAAAACACCTTCTCACCATCAACAGTTTCAGGCATCAAAACGTCTTCATCGGATGATTTCCAGGGCAGGGTCTGGTCTTTTTCATCTTCGTCTTCTCTCTCCTTCTTCACCACCACTGGTCCACCATCGCGGGCACCACTCTCTCTTCCTGAGGCCGTCCCTCCATCGCTAGCAGGCAGTGCCACAGTCTCACCAGCACTCGAACTAGCTGAGTCTGTGTACAAGTAGGTGAAAAGTTAAGGCCACCCGCATGATCTTTATAATATTGATTTCTCAGTGTTTTGTGTGTTAAATTTGTTGATACTATTGCCAGTATGGGATTATACTTTAATTTCAGCTACAGTCGAAGTATCATTCTTGCTAAAAAGGAGGCTATCCCCTTGTAAGAGACGATCACAATGGATGTCTGATTTTGCAGAAAAATAAGCTTTCACCTGTACAGGTATATGCTGTAAATCAAGGTTCATACCCTTTGATTTTCGTTTCCTGATGACAGGGGCGTACTGTTGCCGCGACAACTGTTTCCGTAGTTTGTATGGCTCCCGAAGTTCCCTGTTTGGGCATTTGCCTCGTTTCCCGTGCGGAGGTTGAAGGTCACCGTCGGAACTTGCGCAATATGTCAGACTGGAATCTCTCCCCTGTCTCTTACTGCCTTCTGAATTGTACATATGTAACACAAAGAGTGCATTACATGCTTTTGCCTTAAGACCTATTTGACGTAAAAACTATGGTACACAATGAGAGTAAGGCAAGTAAAAATGGAATATTATCATTAATGCTAGAGAAAAAGTGGTGGATGTATGGTTCTAACGGCCAACGCACAGATACGATGCAACTTTGCTCGCCAGCGACAAAATCTCAAGCAAATTCAATGCATCATGGGTCCATGTGACACGTTGTATAATATACGAAAATATGTAGAAGTTTAGTCTACTACTTAATTGCCATAACTGTTATGATGTAATGCACCTTCGTCAGACTCTGTGCACGAGGACTCGTCTGTCTCCCAAAACCGGTTTGACCGGGAAGACGGGATCCTCTTCGGGGCAAACAGTGGCGACGAGGGGGGAGAGGTGGAAGGCTGCAGTACACACACACACACACACACACACACACACATGAAGTATTGTGAGTAAACATCCACTGAGGGAGAAAAATAATTCATGAAAATTAGGTTGGTGTTCTGATAGGGGGGTAGACAAGTCAGGCTGTATACAGCGAAGCCTTCGAACAAGGGACACTTTGGAGACACTGAAGTTTATCATTTGTTCAGAGGTGCTCCTTAATCGCAGGCAATATAATACACTATACAAGTATGGGGCAGAACCAAGTGTTTTTTTAGAAAGCTGTTCTTTATTCGGAGGGTCCTTCCTCGGAGGTTTTACCAACCTGTGATGCAGAGTCCTCTCTGCCTCTCCTTTCAATGAGTCTTCTCTTTCTTTGACTGATCCCAGGAGGTCCCTGTGAGGAGCCCTCTCCTCTACTGCTGACTGGAGACGGGTCGACTTTCTGTGGACACAGACGTACCGTGGGCCTCAAGATACATTCTAGAACAATTCACTATTCACTATCTAAAGGATATAGCACATAATGCATGGTACAAGTCTAAGTAAGCTTCCATGTACGTATGTTCCTGTTCCGTTTGGATACGTCTGCCTTTCAGGTCGGTTTTTACTTTGCCCGTTTCAGTTCCGACTCACACAAAACATTCACTTTACCTTCACAGCTAGGGGAAAGCCTAAATAAACTCACTCTCTTTCTGACGGCATTGATAGGCGCTGTGTACTCCACTCCATCATCAAACAACACTACCGCCATCTCTGCATACATAAATGTATTGGGAAAGATCACGGGATCATTGTATGCCAAACACAGTAGTATAGAAGTGCATAGGATCAATGGAAGTCCTAACATAGACAGTAATGTAGTGCACCATTGGATCAATGGAAAAGTCCTAACATACACAGTAATCAGCATTGTACCAGTGTGTGTGTGTGTGTTAGTATGTATGTGGGACTCACGGTTGAGCAGTTTCAGGACTCTGCCATAGTACATCCTCCCATCATGCCACCTTGCCTGCACGCGGTCACCAACTCCCACTGGCTATAATGTGTACATGTACAGTGTATACAGTATGTGCAATAGAGTCATTCAAATCACAGTATCATGTGCATAGGTCTAACACATAGCGACTACCAGAGAGAGATTCCAGATTATAAAGTAAGAAGGAACAAAGTTGAGTGAATGAACCAAAGATCGCCAGATTTTCGCAGGTTAAACGGTAGACTACAGTGAAATGCCACAAGCATAAACAAGTGTCTCCCACATGTACAGTGCCAATTTAAGAAGTATTGGATTTAGGAAATATCACAGAACTTATGCAGAGATTCCACAATCTTTTCACCGGTGTTTGTGTTGAGGTTTTACGGTTTGCTACACTCTGCCCACCTTGTGTTTGCATGTCCGCGAGGCCTTCTGCAGCTGCTCCTGAGACAAGGGTCGTAGTCGGCCCTCCCCGATGTGGATCAGCTCGTCATAACGGGAGCTCCAGCCGTCAAAATGGACCACTACTTCCCCTGTTTCTTCATCCTTTTCAACAACTTTAGCACGAAACCTTTGTTGCATTGTAAATACACTAATTACGGTGGAGACCAGATATATTTTAGCTGAAAATGGCAGATGGTGATCGGCTTTACAATGGGGAAAATATAATCCCATACACTATGCAGAAACAACCATCGTTTCAAATAAAACTCACTTTATGCTCACATAGTACACTGCATAGTACAGTGTACATACATAGTGGCAAAAAAATTGTTTCATTGCCATACCATTTTCCATAGCTGTCTTTGGCTTCAACTCTCATTCCAACGGTTATGTCGTCTAATTTTCGTATGACATCCATCGCAGGAGGCTCTGCTCCGCCCTCTGGCGAGGCCTGGGGCTCTGCCGACATGTTTACAAGACCACACAGTGGGCGCTTTTTGGAATACTCGTCGTATTTTGGCTCCCGTCTTCAGCGGCGTAGAGATCGTCCTTCTATGACAGATAGTGATCACTTTGTGCTCTAGCTCATGTCAAAGGCCTTCTAAAAGCTAGTAGACCATCAGCTGTGGACTCGGCAAGAACTCAACGGGTCGTCTATAACGTGCGTCCCGAGACGGAACAGCTTCGGGACCAATTACAACGCGCATGCGCAATATATACACATGTGGAAGATGTTCACGAAGGGGCGCCTTTTACTGCGACATTACTCTTCAACTGCTGCCAAGTCTCTGCTTGGAACATTGCGGAGAAGAAGCGGCTTCCCACTCATGAAGTGCAAGGAAGCTCTGACCAAGTTTGGCAGTGATCTTGAGGCCGCAGAGACATGGCTGCAGGAAGAAGCGCAGAAGGAAGGGTGGACGAAGATGGCCAAGCTACAGGGGCGCCAGGCGAAGCAGGGACACATAGGACTCGCTGTGGCCGACAATAAAGCCGCTATGGTCGAGGTGAGTGAGATCTAATTGAAGCGCACCTACCGTAGCTAACCTCTTGACCCCGCGCACGTGACTATCTCTGCAGGTGAACTGCGAAACGGACTTTGTCGCGCGAAACGACCAGTTCAAAGCCCTGGTCTCTACAATAACTGGAGCAACCTTCAACCACCTTACACCCAAACTACTCACCGCTACCAATCTTGCCTCGCTTGATGTTCTAATCTCCGATTCAATACTCAACGTCTCAACCAACGAAGACGGAGATGGTGGGTCTGTAGCTGATTGTGTGGCTAAGACAGTCGGACACTTCCAGGAAAAGATCTCCGCGTCGCGAGGCTGCACACTGAGCTGTACAAGCGGAATCCTCTGCGGTCAAGTACACAACAACATCAGCAATGACGAGACTGTACGAATGGGGCCATATGCGGCTGTACTACACATGAATGGCTACGACTCAACAGAATCCTTATCCGGCAGAGCAAACTTGGATGAGTTGAGGAAACTAGGAGAGCAAATTTGTCAGCATATCGTGGGGTTGAACCCGGTGAATGTTGAAGCGGTCGAAAGTGAAGTTTCACTGGTCGATCAGAATTTTCTGTTCGATGAATCTGTTACTGTGGGGAGCTTCTGATGAGGCACAGAGTGTGTGTGACGAGATTTGTCCGCTATGCCCTCAGTGAAGAACAAGATAATCCATGGACAAATTCTTCAAGTCGATCTTGATGCATTGATGCATATTATAACTGTAGACTGAAACTTGTACTGTATTTCGCAAATCGTTAGTCGTTCATGCACAGTGACAACGAGCCCCTCCCACACTTTCTTGTGCAGACTAGTCACCACTGCGCGTGCGCGGGCGCACTCTGAACTCGAAAACGAGGCGCAGGATGGAGGTGGTGAGTGTTGTTGGCTAGTGGCTCGGAAACCGTCGCTCTCTCTCTCCGTCTCCCTCCCTGCAGTTCTGTCTTGGAAACAAGCCGTGGCAGCCCTGCTACGTCATGAGGATGAACCACACTACAATCATGCTGGATTGTAGCCTCGATCTTCCTGTTCTCCTGAACTTTCTTCCCCTACCACTTGTCTACAGGTCAATACTTATCCTCCCGTGCCACGTAAGGCTCGTCGTAATGTATATTTGCAATAGCCCTAAGCTATCTGGTCTACCGAGATGGCAGTGCAAAGACCCTAGCATTGCAGTGGATCTGCCGGAAGACATAGCTAGACTGGTATAATATTATGCCTTGTTAGAACACCTACTGTGTATCTTTTCTCAATAATGCTACAGTTCCGTGAGAATGTTGGCCACGTCTTCATTGAGTCTCTCCCTCTATTTCGACTCCCCGAGGTAAACAATATTATAGTGGAACTGCCCATTGGCCGCCTCGTAGCCTGTAGTGCGAGAATAAGCATCAACAGGCAGACAGACAGACAAACCGAGTACTGTAACCCTCGCTGCGCATGCGCGCCGAGGGTTAATCGCCTCAGTTTAATGCTGTTTGCTAACTCCTCTCTCTCAGACTGGACTTGTGGATCTTTCAACAGTCGATGCTCTCCTTCTCTCTAACTGCTTCTCAGCTCTGGCTCTTCCGTTCCTTATTGAAGTACGATTATTACAGGGCCCACCTCATGTATGATAATTATAATGTGACTGTGAGTTCCTTTTAGAAGTATGGCTTCAGTGGAAAGATCTTTGCCACAAAACCGACAGTTACATTCACAAAGTATGTTGAGTGGATATATTGTCTAGAGGCCTTTGTGTATATCAAAGCAGCAGTAATCACCTATAGATTGTACAAACTAGCAGCTGTAAAGTTTGGCTTTACATTTGACTGAAACTCCCAAATTGAAGGGAGTACCAATTTTAACGCAAATAGGCAGTTGATGGAGGAGCTCTCTCACTATATCTATCGAGCACCTCCTACAGATCACAGCGCACAGTGGAAGAATGACTCACTATGGAGGTGTGTGCTATAATTATCGTTGCTTATTATAGGGGTCTGTATGTTATATTATGACTATATGTCTCTGACTATAATGTGTGCTGAAGCTCTCTACCAGATGGGACACTGAAAGAATCGTCAGATTTTCACAATTGGAAGGAACTCTACACGTAAATATTACGTACGTCTCCACAACCTAAAGATCTGTGTGTAATAATGTCTGCAGAATGGAAGGTATCCAGAAAGCTATCTCAAGAATACAACCCATCAGCTACTCTGAAACAATTGTGAGCATGTCGAAGTTGAATTGTAATCTGGCAGTGCACAATAGGGCCCCATTTTCAGTATAATATTATACTTCCACATTACTTGTAGGATTTGTTTCACCACGTGAAAGTGACGGCGCTGAGCTCAGGGTTCTGTCTCGGCAGCTGTAACTGGATCATTGAGACTGAATACAACAAGGTAAGTCCATCATCTTGCGAGCAGTATACACACACAGTATCATGGATCTCAGTGATCATGGGTCTAAGTAGTGGCTTATCATTGTCAACCCTGCAGCAGTATGCACACACACATTCCTAATTTTACCACTTACGTGGCAATGATGGAAATCAGTACTCACAGGTATTATATTAAACGGCAGTAAAAGTGCACTACAGAAAAGCTGCGATTAAGCTATGGAGTATATCTGTCAAGATGTATGTAGATATAGAGTTGTTTACTCTAACACACACTGTGCTGAATCTCAGTAATTGATTGCCAGGTGGCTTACATATCGTCGTCGTCGACTTTCACCACTCACCCCTGCCCCATGGAGCGAGCCAGACTCAAATCGGCTGACATACTCATCATGAGTGGACTCACCAACGCTCCCTCGGCTAACCCTGACACCATGCTCGCTGAACTCTGCACCAGAATGGGCTACATTCCTACTGTTAACGTTTTACTGACACCTGAAGGATTGTGAACTAAAAAGTAGCCTTACGTCGTGTGTGACAGTATAATGCTTTGATTTCCAGCCCAAACGCTAAAGAACGGAGGAAACGTTCTCATTCCCTGCTATCCAACCGTGAGTCTCTGTCTTTCATTCATTCTGCCACTAGATTATACTTGTCATCCAGCATTATGCCAATACATTTGAGGTCTTCATAATGGTGTTCTTTGTGACGGTCTCATAGGGAGTTCTATACGACCTACTGGAGTGCCTCAAGGCATACCTGGATTCTGCAAATCTGAGTAACGTCCCTGTCTACTTCATCTCCCCTGTGGCCAAAAGCTCTCTCTCCTTCTCAAACATCTTTGCCGAATGGTATATAGAGCTATAGCTATAGTGGAGCATGCGATAGAGGTATAAAAAAGTATTGTGGTGACTGCAGGTTGTGTGATGCTAAAAAGACCAAAGTGTACCTGCCTGAGCAGCCCTTCCCCCATGCAGAGGTAAGAGGCAGCTATGGTGTGATGGCAATGAGGGTACCGGCACAGTTAAAAGAATACCGAAAGACTATAGCATGGTTGTGTGTAGCTCAGAGGTTTTCAGAGTAACTTTCATGGATTGCTATGTAAGTCCCCGTTCACATGATTTTATGAATGGCTTGGATCTTAAGTAAATACTTACGTATAGCTATACTCTCCCAATTTCTCAATAAACTGAACTGCAGTTCATCAAGAGCGGAAGACTTCGTCATTTCCCAAACATTCACGGTAGGCATACGTAGCCACACATATCGAGAGTTTATCATTTGTGGATGTGTCGTGTCAGGTGATCTGGGGAGTGTGTATCAGACTCCCTGTGTGGTGTTCACGGGTCATCCATCGTTGCGGTGTGGAGACTCAGTCCACTTCATGGAGGCCTGGGGCGGGTCTTCAAAAAACGCCGTCATTTTCACTGGTTAGTGGAACTGTCACTAATACTTAACCTTCGAATAAAAGACTCCTTTATTATATACATTGTCATGATCCCATAGGTTCCTCCACATTTGGTGTATATACCCACGTTCATTGGTGGATGCATTATCTTGTCGTTCTGTTACCTATACACAGAGCCAGACTTTGAATATCTTCATGCTCTGGCACCATACCAACCTTTACACATGAAGGTATTGTAGCAGCACAGATGTAAAGTATATACAGTCATAATAATGTTGACTTGCTCCCTCAGGCGTACTACTTTCCCATTGACCCACGACTAAATTTCTTTGTAGCCAACAAACTTCTCAATGAGTTTGCTGTAAGTTCGGTTATCCTCATTCCCTCTAAGACGAGTGATAGTGAATATTCTCTTTTACACTGTCAGCCTAGATGTTTGGTGACCGCCGACAGCTACTTGCCTTCTGCAGCTCATTCACAGAAAGAAAACGTTTGCTTGCAGCCAGTAAGGTCTAATAAAGGAGCTATTGCATGCCTTCATGCTGCCAGCAAAACGAGCTAACGTCAGACTAGGATGGCCATGCTAGAAACAACCAACTGTGTGAAAAGAGCCATAGGTTGGAAGGCCTAAGGCTGACTGCCTGATGCATTAAAAATTAATGGTTCTCGTGTGTATACTGTGCGTTCATTAACCACAGGAGATGCAATACTATGGTCTAACACGAGGCAGAGCTGTCACAATCCCGCTGGATGGAAAGTTCCAGAAAATAATGCTCGACCCAGAAGTAAACCATTGCTGCAAGTTTTCACAGGAGCTATGATATGGGTATCATCATTTTCAGCTGGCAAGCAAGCTGCTGCCTCAAGAGATATTCCCCGGAGTGTCGGTGACGTCAGTGCTGGGACTGCTGAGCTCTCGCAACAACCAGCACACCCTCGCACCACTCCCTCCTCACCACAGACCCCACACTGTGGGCAAACTGCTGTGGGGGGAGCTGAGTATTGAGGCCTTCGTACAGGCCCTGAGAGACCAGGTAAGCTTCTGACAATAATCTCTGACTGTGTGGACATTTATTTTGTTCATTATGTGTTGTTTTGCAGCATGGGATAGTGGATGTTGTAATAGAGGGAACAGAGGAGGCTAAAACTCTCAATATTGTAAGTAGCTATAATAGTCCATTTGAGTAATATTTGCTTTGTGTGATTGCACATTGATTCTGTAGTTGGGTGGGAAAGCTACAGTTCTGATATCTCCTGAGAAGACTACTATAAGAGACTGTGCAGATGACAAACTGAGGGCCATTCTGAGAGACCTTGTATTCCGTCTACTAGTTCAGGTGTAGGCTTTATATATTTTTTGTCTGGTGTAATGATGGTTTGTGGAGGGGCAACTGAAATGTGCGTGTCTGGGCGGTGAATATCGTTTTGAGGTCTCGTGACAACGGCAGCCCAAACCTAGTACCTCTAGCTCTGTGTTCATGTTATGGCACACAATTTCGTAGTGACGGACACGTCGCCGCCGCCGAAGTCGTCCATCGCATACACGGTGTGCGGCGCTCAAACCATCGCGACCGAGTGCTTGATCATCCCATGTGACGGAGATGCCCACAGCCGGATTCCCCCCAGCCGAGAGAAACCACCAGGAAGTGTTGTGTACAGGATGCTTACCTCGAGCGACATACTGGACAAAGTTATTTTCAGTCGCTCTTCGTCGGGCATGAACCCAACGCCGCTGCCAGAAGTGGCGCGCGATGTAACGGCCATCGAGAATCTGATCGGTAGCGACCCGCTGAAGACCCATAAGGAGACGGTATACGAAACCGCTATGCAGTCGAAGCCAGGTTTCAGCAAAAAGCTGGCCTACCTTGAGAAAATACAATCCTTCCTGTGCGAATGCAAAGAAATGTCCGGAGGTGTGTGCTATAGCAATAATACAACACGCTGCATAATGCACTAGCTACTTACCTTTTCTTTCACCCACAGCCTTGATCTGGTTTGCTGGCCACGGGGAGATGGAGACCGGTGATTGGGTGGTAGGTAATGATCATGACACCGTCACTTTTGAAGAAGTACTCGAGCTCTATGTGAAGTTTTTCTTCAACCGCATCCTGTACATTGTATGTGATTGCTGCTACTCTGGAACCTGGGTCACCAAACTAGCAAAAAAACTAGATGAATTGGGAATCGGAGCTTGTGGCCATGAAGCAAAGAAGAATCACTTTTTTCTCAAAGTTGTTGCCTCTTGTAAGGAAAAGGAGAAAGCTGGTGATGGTTTTTTTAGAGCAGAGGGTGTCTGTGCTGCTGAAGATCACTCTATGCAGTTTCCCCACAACAAATTTCTACGGGGATCTCAAAAAACGATGGTTCTGGATACAACAAGCATGCGTTGCTTTCGCGACCCATCGACCGAATGCAGTCTTCACAAGATGGAACGCAAGCATCAGTGGAAGTGGGTTGATTTATTGAAGAAGCATGAGTCTTTGAGCAAACGCTTCGAGTTTGTCTGCAGTACCAACTACTGGTACGCTGTGTTTTTTCACGAGAGCAAGTGTGACAAAATGGTTGAAATTTCAGAGAATAAATTGAGTAGTTGTGGCTTTATTGTAGCCAAAGGAAAAAGAGCCAATCCCTCCACGAGAAGCTGTGTCCAAACTGTGCCTATACTCTCCCCTGAATTACGACCCCCATAACCTTCCAGAAAACCGTTTCGATCCTACCAAATATTATTATGTGTATTATTCCTAAAGCATTGAAAATGTACTTGTTTTTTCTAATTCACGTTAGTTTGTAAGTGATTACTAGTTGATCCTTTCTATAACGTTTTTTATCTTTCCGTTGATCCCTACAATACCTACCGCACAAAGATCTCACAACATACTACAATGTCTGATCATTATTAACCCTCGGCGCGCATGCGCAGCGAGGGTTACGGTAGTTGGGTTTGTCTGTGTGTCTGTCTGTTACTCGTCATCTCACTTCTCGAGTGTTCGTTCGTCTCACAAAGGATACCACCTACTGAACGGGCAATGAAGGTCAGAAATGTCGGACGGTTTTCTCTTAAAATGCTCTGTTGCAAAGCTAGAGCGCGAAAAAGCTAATATGCAAATACACAACGTATAAACGGGCTTACCGCGGTCGGATCGGTCCGCGTGCTCTGCGTACTTCGAAGGCACCAAAAGATGCAACGCAGGGCGTGTATCGCCTCTCGCATGCTATCTAGTTTTGTAGTTAGCCCGCGTCAGCTCTGCGCGAGCTGGCAAGAGACCACGAGTAACAGCTAAAACTAAACAACCCAGCCATCAATAATTAGTGGTACGGCGCATGCGTTTACTTACGCGTGCGCGTCACAGTGCGCCGAGGGTTTGAACTTTCATTGTTACTGTGTTAGGGACTAAGTAAAGTCAGCAAATTCTGATAGCTCTGTCTTTGATGATGGTGGCACAGTAGAACTGCTGGGTGAGATGCTTGTTCTCTCTGAGACATCTGTGAGTGTGTTTCTGGAGACTGAGTCCAATTCACCGTCATCTTCAGCCATAGTCGCTGGCAGTTCATTGTCCTCGCTGGAAGACAGACTGTCTTGTGCGGTTTGCAGAGCTCGACTCTCTCTTGCAGTTTGCTGAGCTTTAGTCGGCTCAGGGGTGTGTGATTCCATGCCTTCACTTGCTCTGTTTGACTCCATAGTGTCATCGCTATAAGTGTCAGTTGTTTTAGAGGGAGTGTTAGGTGGTGAAGGCTGGGAGGGACGAGAACCTTCTTTATAGGTCGGTGGTGTTGACTCATATCCTTTCCCAGTTGAATTTCAGACACAGGTAGTTGGGAACTTTGAGTACTACCCACCACAGACTCATTAATTGTCGATGGGTCTGGATTGGCTTTTTGTTCATCATACTTCTGCTCTGGTTCTTTGTCTTCTTCTTTCATCTGTCTATCTTCTTTTTCTTCCCTTTCGTCGGTAGAGGCTAGGGTAGTGTGAGCTGGATTGCTGTCAACTACTAGTGATTCTGTCCCTGGTGTAGTTTGCTGATCAGTCAGTTTTCCATGCTCTGGTGCTGCAGCACTCTCTAATGGTTGCTCATCAGTCTGCGTTCCAAGGGCTGGTGTGTCAGCAGTTGTTTGGTCACCAGTCTCTGGTGTAGCTTGTTCGTCATTCTGTGTTCCACGTTCTGTTGCATCAGCAGTTGGTTGCTCTTCTACCTGTGCTCCGGTCTCTGGTGCCTTAGCATTTGTCTGTGTTCCGCACTCTGGTTCATTGGCAGGGACTTCATTGTTAGTCTGTGTTCCATGCTCACTGGTTGGAACTGGGCCAAGTTTGTAGACAATTCTCACGCCACCTCGTGTCACCAGCTCAGGTCTGGCTTCTGCAGTAGTAGCGTCTTGTCCACCATCCTGCTTTGCTGAATTCGTCTCTTCCGCATCGAGCACTGGATCTGTGCTAGTATCAACTCCATTGTTTAAACTTTCATCTACATCACCTCTTTGTGTTTCATTCAAGACAGCCGAGCGTTTGGATTCAGATAACAAATAGGGGCTGTCAACACTCTCCCTTCTTTCTCCACCCTCGCCGCCGCTATCTTGTGATGATTCAGAGCTAAAGCTGGAAGAGTAGCGGCTGAGAGACGGGGACCTAGAAATCACGCCTTCTCTCTCGTCTTCTTCACCACTTTGTGTCAGCAAGCTCTCTAGTTGTGTGGACTGCAGTGTAGCCGAAAGCTGTGGAGTAGACTGAGCTTCCTGTTTCGATTCTTGTGCTTTCTTCCTTGATTTTCGCTCTTCCTTTGCCTTCTGACACCTAAAGCATCCGTGTGAAATGTATTATGTATGCCCTATTGCTAGTATTTTTACTCACAAATGGCAGGGTGATCCTCCTTTGATTGATGAAACTTTGAAGTGGGCCGAGCGTCCACCAAGTCGTGTTCTTTGCGCGATGTCTGTATTCGCAGCATACGCTCACTCGACAGTCGATCATTCCGCCAGTATAGATGACTAGGGCAAACGGCATTCCAGGTTGGCGGATTGATTGGAACGAGAATGTCTCTACAAACAAGCATAAGAAAAGCGATATTGTAGTTTTGTAGGAAACGAGAAATGCCTCTACAAGAGAAGCATAAATTACTAAAAAGTGTTCTTTATACTTTGCATGCTTATGTACTACAAGTTGCATCCACATTGCAACATGAATTGGGAATGGCTAAAAAATCAGGGAAGTTCACACTGATGTGGATTGTAACTTACCACCAGGTCTAATAAGGTCCTTGAACACTCGTACAGGTGTGAAGCCTTGAGCCTGCTGCCACACCTCCACGTCAGTCAGTGGCTTCTTGCTTTTAAGGGCCTTTGTCGTGCCCAGATAGCCAAGGGTCATTGTAACACTATCTTTCTCTTGCACCTACATTCATAATGCCACACATATGTAACCTGAATATCTTTTTGTGTAGCTACCAATTTTTCGGTTGCCTTTCCTGCAGTCTTTGGCTGGGGAGGTTTTGTTGGTGCAGTCTGAATGGATAAAAAGGGAGTAACAAGTGTAATACCATAGAGAACTGGCTTACACTGGGTCTTCTACGTCCGGGCTCCTTCTTTGAAGCTGCTGAAGCTCTTGGTGTAGTGGTACTAAGTGGACAATACCCTGCTTTAGCCTGTACGATTGTTGGGCCAGCTACCCTTGGCCCTGCAATCGTCTTCACCAAGTGCTTCAGTTCTCCAAGCTCATCAGGGGTGAAGGACACTCTCTCCTTGTGCTTCTCAATGGCTCCAGACAGACATGTGTCTGATAGAGAATTCAGAGTGGGGACTGTCTTGTTGGAAAGTGTAGCTTTTCCCAAGCCAAGCAAACTCTGTTCAGAGCTCTTTCAGGATTGTAGGTTTGAATCCCTGGTGGGTGCAGCCTCTCCCTCTATAGTATAAATGTCACAAGTCATGCAATAATATGGCTAAGTTTTTATCTCTACCTTTATTCTTTGGACTGTTTCATATTTGGCAAGTGCCTCTAGTTTCTTCTTCAACTCGGCTTTTTGCTGCCTCTGTAAACATACAGCAGTATGGCAATATACCTTATTCAGTTTGCTTTTCACAGCAATAATATGGCAATGTGCTTTTCAGCTCTGTGTAAAAATCACCTGTTTTTCACTGAGTGCTACAGCTGTATTTGTAGCAACATCGTCTTTGTATCTCATACGGTACTCTCTCTGGGTTGCTCGTCTCTGAAACGTCCGTTCGTCAACCAGTCTTCCGCCCCTAGTTATCTGTGAGAAACAGGGACATTAGAATTCACACGTGAGGTCGGAGATAGCTGCTAACCAGGCCCATTCGACGGAGATGCCGCTTTCTCTGCGGGCTGGAGTAGTACTCGGCGAGGTGCTCGTCCAGCAGGCTGTTGTAGCTCAGAATTGACGGAGGACTGCGGCACAAAACAACAACGACACCAGTAGTTGAGTGCCACAAGACGGACTACTAGTAACTACTACCTGTTCTGCATGTTGGAGTGTCCCCGCTGTCTAATTTTTCAGCACTGTTGAAGACCCCGCCAGCCAAGCTCACAATTTGTTGACGTTTCTAAAAAGGCGTATCTAAGGAAGCACGTGATATTTTAACCCCACTTTCTCGGATTTTTACCCACGTGGTGTGTATCATGGCACGACAACCGCTGAAAACCTACCTCTGTCTTTTTGCACAGCAGCACCCTGAGTTCAGGCTTCCGGAGCTCCTGTCCCTCGCCTCCGTGACCAAGTCAGAGGTGAAATTTGACGAGTTGAGCTACTCTAAAACAGTAAGGAACACATACTAATACTTACTAAAAACTGATACTGATACTTGTGTGTCTTAGAATCCACTCCTTCTAGTGCACTTTCCTTCTGAAGAGAGTGCTTGCCGTATAGCAGCTAGATCCTTACTCATAAGGTATATTCACTGAGACCTTATACTTACTACACGCATTGTGGGTAAACATGTATATACTTTTCTGTAGGTCTCTATTTGAGTTGTGGGGATCAGGTAGAAACCACGATGAGCTAGAGGCATCTGTCAACAAACTTCCTTCAGAATTTACGGTGAATGAACTTGCAAAGGTTCTCTGAAATCGGACTAGTCTGTTTTCTAGGATAGGTATAGGCGTTCAGACTACACCTTCAAGGTCGTAGTGAGGGGCTTCTCAAGAAAATGCTCTGCAGAAAAACAGCTTCAACTCTACGAGGTGAGGGAAATCATGAAGTGTTACTAACCTACATTCCAATTTGAAGAGTGGTTAGTTAATATTTTCTTACGTACCTTCAGGTATTCATTAACTCTGGGCTACAAGTTTTAACAGGCTGTATAATTTATTAGACCTTATATAATTATATTATATATATCCCCCTTAAAATATCCTGTCTAACACACTTGTATGTTGTTCTCATCTGTAGAGGCTTTCCTATCTCCCACTGGCTGGTAAGGTCAACCTCTCGAATCCTGACTACGAGTTTCATCTTCTGGAAGATTATGGGGACAACCCCAATGAGGCTCCAATGGAGCCCCACCGAGTGTTTGTCGGTCGTCTCATCTCTCATGGACAGAGACACCTCATCCAGAAATATGCAGTCAAAAATAGACACTTCATTGGTAACACTTCCATGGACGCACAGCTGTCTCTTATCATGGCCAATATGGCACAGGTAGTGTAATGTACTGTATACTGTTATGTAACTGGTATGTGGCAATTTTTACTACTGACTTCAATTTTTCAGATTTTTTACTTTTCAGAGCCAGACATACGCATTAGTAAAAAAGCCAAATGCATACGCGTACACAGTTGTATTGATCTTATACTATTGGCAGGTGAAGGAAGGTAGTTTGGTGTTTGATCCATTTGTAGGCACGGGTAAGGTCTACATTCTAAACTATAAGTGTGTAGCTAGCTCACCATCTCCAGGCAGCCTGCTGGTGGCTGGAGCACACTTCGGTGGATTTGGGATGGGAGCTGACATTGACTATCCTCTGATACATGGCAGAGGTATATGTATTACAGTGCAATACATTTCTGCCCATTTCATGCGTATTAAGAATCATGTGCAACACCAGTTGATGGGTCGTGCGCGTAACAGATATAATATACATCTGGAAAAATCCCGCATTCAGATGACTAGGCAAGCTCGCCAATAATAAACTAAAGGACACTTATTGTGATCTGAAGACACATCTACGATTTGCATGGTCTCCTTATTTGGAGGTTCTACCATAACATTAATCTGCAATTTGGGGTCTATAGGAAGAGCATCTCGAGCTGGGGCAGAGAGCAAGTGGAGAGGTATACAATAGTGTGGCATCCTTCTTGCGTTGCAGTTGAGTCAAGTGTGTTGCGTGCAGGAAAAGATGAGAATGTATCGTCAAACCTGCGACAGTATGGACTTGCAGACCGCTATCTCGATGTGTTGGTTGCAGATGCTGCTAAAAATGTGTGGAGACAAGGAGAATTATTTGATGCCATCATCACAGACCGTAGGCAAAGTTTCTTTCCATCACTAACACTTGATTGTGTATTTACCTGTAGCTCCTTATGGGATCAGGGAAGGAAGGCGGAAAATATGGGTCAAGAAATACACCAAACCCAGTCCCACCTGAACTGTGAGCTGAATTGGTTACCCAGGAAAATCTCCAGGACAATCATTCTTTCACATTCGTTGCATTTGACAAACTCCACAGAGTGGAGAGTTACATACCGGCCGTGTGCAGCTATCACCTGTCGGACCTGCTGACAGACCTGCTGGATTTTGCCGCACGATTTCTCGTGCTTGGTGGCCGACTCGTCTACTGGCTTCCAGTCATCAGAGATGAGTAAGGGACAACTTAAGGAGCTTTTAAGCTATGTACTGTAACTCTCTGCTGTGGGTTTCAACGATCTTGCTCTTTGCATCGTGCATGTATCTCAGACAAGGGACAGAATGTTCAACCATATCCATGCCATGCACAAACATATAAACACCTGTTGTGATTGGTAAAGTAATGCAGGTCTGTAACTTTATTTGGCAATTCGAAAACTGCAGTAGTATTATAGTTGTTCCACCTTTGTAAGGCATTGTTCATGGCATGGATTATGTAATGGTACAGTACGACCGCACACCCACAGGTTTTCTGAGGCCCTAATTCCGAGACATCCATGCATGGAACTGGCGTGGTGTTGCGAGCAGCCGCTACAGAGACAGGTAGGAAGAAGGTTGGTCGTCATGGTGAAGAAACAGCGGTGGACGCAAGAGCTGCAAGGACAGGCCTGCAGCAGCAGGGAACACGACGACTTTAGGAAGAAGTACTTTACTCATTTCACAGAATCTCTCCCTCATACTGCGCCCCAGAGTTCCAGAGGGCTAAATTTCTAAATGCATGACTTTGTATGACCAGTGGCCAATGCTTGCAAGAGTCAGGAGTACGAACTGAAAATAGTAACAAAAAGAGTTTTAACATCAGTGCATGTATATACAATTATGGAAAAACATGAGCTGTATAAACCAATATACATCTAGAGTGGAGGGGTGGCTGTTTGCTAGGAGATGTCCTTAAAATCCTTTGTGTATGTGTGTGTATCTGCATGTGTGCACTTTTGTGCATGTAAACTGCTTTTCAGTGTCTGTCTCTTCCTCTACTATAGTTGTGTCTATCTTTCAGGCCATGCCTCTCTCTATCACGCTCACGCTCTCTCCAACTTGGAGAG